GTCTGTGTTCTAGCTGCATTGCTCCAGCAAATCCTACCGTCTGAGGATTCCTCTGCATGAGAAAAGCCTTGGGTGGGTGTAGAATTATTAGAATGGCTCCCATCCAGGCTCCTGACAAAGGGACATGGTTGCAGAGAGGGGCATGGATATGGTGTCTCTAAATCCCCAGTGATCTGATGATGGAACAGTCCTTAGGAACTGTTGGGAACCTGTGCAAAGTAGAGCAGCCCTGAGGTTGCTCTACTGTAGGCCAGACGGGCTGTTAGCTGCTCTCAGAACTGGGAGAGCAGTGGTGGTATAAAGGCTGCTGAGTGCAGTTTACAATCTGGGCCATTGACTTCAGTAGGGCTAATTACATGACTAAAGCGAGCAGAATAAATAGTTATAAGTACTAACCTGGATAAGACTATGCATTAGTGAATGTGATGAGGTATACAAACCCCACACTGAGCAACAAGGGGTTCAGGAACTACTCTGAGCTCAACCAGCCCTGCCCTGCCACATCTGGAGCAAATGTACCAACTAGAGAAGGAGCTAAAAGGCAGAAAAGCAGCTCATTTGGGGGCAGACCAGGAAGGAGAACAGATCTGCTACCACAGCTCCAGGGAGATGAGCTGAGGGAAGGCAGAATCTCCCCCAAAATAACTGCCTAAAGGCCCATCCCTGAGGGAAGGCAGGGCCTGCTGCAGATAAGCATTGCTCTCTCGTGTGAACTTTGGACTGGATTGATCCCCTTTATTTTTATTTGGACTACCCCAGCAGGGGAAAGCCTTGGACTGAACTGGTCCAGGAAGTTGGGCCATACTCCAGGAGGGGGCAGTTGCCCTCACACTGCCTTACAGCAGATAGGGACCTTGGGGGAGGTGGTAGGAAGTGACCCAGGGAGGGCTGCTTTAAGCCTCCACAGTTGTCAGACTTCTGATCAGCCTCAAAGGGCCCTGGGTTGGAGCCTAGTGAAGTGAGAGGGCCCTGGCTCCTCTACCAACAAACCCCTCACATGTCACCGTCTTAAGCCCTATCCACTAGGCTGCGCTCCCTACCAACCAATCCTGAGCGATGGCCATCAGTGACTAAAAGAAAACAAAAGTAAAAGTCTAATGAACTGTAGTTCAAAAGTGACAAAGTTGTCTCTGAACATGAAAAACCCATGTGAATTTTTTTAATGGGAGTCAAACCTCAACTTAAATTACATGACATACCCCCCCCCAGGTTTGAACATGTTAAGGGGTGTTTTTTTATGTGCTTGCCTGGCAAGGTATTCAGCTATATTTCATGCAACTAGATGTTCACTGTGGAAAACAATCTCCTATGCCACATATACGTGAGTCTTCTAGCTGAATTTACTGATATCAAATTTGTTTTGGAACCAAAAACAGCAACTGTACGTAACCCTAAAACTTGGTGAAGAACATGAAAATAATTCAGTAACACTGAAATACTTCAGTACTAAGGTGGTGCAAAGATCAGTCTGCTCTCAAATCTAGCAAAACAGATGTTCAGTGACTTGCACAATTTTTAAATAGTTCAGTTTAAACTGAGATTGTCAACCTACCTTTACAAAATAAATAAGATGTGTGTGAGAGCTTAGAAAAATGAGCTATCTGTGAATACTTAATAATACTAGTTAGTAATCAGAAGCCTGTTTTGATGTTGTATCTGTATAACTTTGGTATAAATTCAGTAATATACATGGATTTTCAATGGCGTGGTTCAGTATGAAATAGCAGACATGATACTTTTAAATTTGGTATTTTAAAAGCAAAGTTAGGGCCTGCTGCAAAACTGATTAAGTCTACAGAAAGACTATATTAGCTTCAGTGGAGTTTGAAGCAGGCCTATAGTGAATATACATCTTTTCTATTGCCATTACCTTTAGAATAAATCCTTACAAATATATATCTAATTCAGATTATATTTCTAACAGAAGTTCTGCATTCAAATGTAATATATAAACAGAGTTGTTTGCAGCACAAGATGTGTATAAATATAAAGTTTATTCAGTATAGTGTTTAGAAAAATAAGTTCACATCATCTCAGAATACAAATAAAACACTTAACTGTCCAGGCACAAACCCCTATTACAGTACAACAAACATATATACCTTAGATCTCTTTGGTTGGGTTATAAGAACAAAAATGTTTGATGATAGGCTTTGTGTACTATCACCTAATGGTGCAGTAAAGACTTCTGGTTATTCTCTACTCTAATGCATACATTCTGTAAAGATTTCATCTTTGTTGTAAGGCACAATAAACCGATATTGATTACAGAAATAACTGGTTAGTTCTGGACAAACAGTACATGCAGCAAAAGAATGAATACCCTTTGAATGCGAATCCTGAAAGCCAAAAGATTCACATGCTCCTTGAGTGTAGAAATGTTAGAAGGTAGTTTTAAATTATATGAAATGTACAAGTTAGATATAAAATATCTTCAAGATAGGATTTCTAAGAGATATAGGAAGACTTCGGGTCTCCTCTCTTGTAAAATTTCACTATTTTGTTTCCAGAGTTTCAAAATTATTAATATTTTAATGACTTAAGATATTTCTTGATCATGAAGACTCTATGACACATGCCTATTGGAGTTCCATACACTTGTTTCATATGAAGCAGAAGGGATACATCTTGTACTTTTGTCATGAAAGGTGCACAGGCACTGGAAATCTATGCACAGGGACTTTTCCAAGCATTCCATGCAAATTTGGGCCAAATTCTGCCCTCTGTAATGTCTCTGCTATCAATAGGGTTTTATAAGGCTTGAGGACAGAACCTAGCCCTTACTGCCTCCCCATGGATTTGGGCGTATTCCTAATGTTCACTGCAAAATTTAAGCTTTCATTTAAAAAAAATGGTTCTAGCCCTTCTGATTGGGAAAACAATTTTCTTAATAAGCTTTCGTGGGTGAATACCCACTTCGTCAGATGAATGTAGTATTCACCCATGAAAGCTTATGCTCCAATACGTCTGTTAGTCTATAAGGTGCCACAGGACTCTGTCGCTTTTTACAGATCCAGACTAACAAGGCTACCCCTCTGATAATTTTCTTAATGTGAATCAATGGAATTCTGTCTTCCTTAGTTCACAGACATGGTGAAACAATAACTCTAAGAAGTATAAACTGCCCCATTAATTTCAATAGGGTGTTAACTTGGAAATCTAATTACAACACTCTGAATAGATCAACCTTGTTAGTTATTTCACTGCTGCCACTTTATATTGGGCCAAATTCATACCTGGTATAACTCCAATGAGACGAACGGGCCACAGACTGAGCTGGTGTACACTGACACAGCGCCATTGACTTCAGTGGAGTTCTGCTGATTTACAGCAGCTGAGGATGTGGCCTAACTGTGTCCATGAACATGCTTATTCAATGTGGTTGGATTCAGTTGAAAGGACACTTCACAGGAATAAGATTGCAAGATTTAACGAGGCAACTGACTAGATGCTCTGCTACACGGATGAGCCTTCTGGTTCTCAGCAACATCAGGGTGAAATCAAGAAAAATACTAAATTCGTTCAAAAACTTTACAACATTTTGAGGGAATTTGCTTAATCAGCTTTCAGCAGATTTCCCAAACATTTCTATAAAATCCGGGTCAAAGATTTAGCAGAATTTGGCAACATTTCCCATACAATTTCCAGTGGACTTAGCTTTAGGTAACTGTGCATTTTATACCTGTAGATGGCCATGGTGTGATGCCAAGCTGCCTTTCACTTTGCAAGTCAAAAAGTATAGCATACATACGTCATATGTAAAGTTTAAATGATTCTTTATACCCATCCACATTAAATAGAAGAGGGGAAAAGAAGGGTATGTTAGGCTTGAGCGAAATATAAACACGTCTTCCATTTAAACAAGAGAACATCATAGTAAAGACTAACGCGGAGATTTTCAAAGCTGCTTAGGGGACTTTGCCTATATACAGCCGTTGAAGGTCTGGCCCTAAATATTGTAAAGGGCACTGTGTAAAGAAAGCAGGTTGTCTGCTTGTCTGGGCAGATATGCAAGGATCACATTATAATAAATTGACCCTTATTTTACTGTAGGAGTAAAAATACTATTTAAATAGCCACTATAAAAACACTGAACTGGGCAATGACACTTTGTATTGTGCATATGTACCCGCAGAAAACGTGAGGTTATAATTGGATCATATGGAGGGAATGACACTTATTTTTGATGGGGAGAGGAGAAAAGAGAACATAAATTACTTGCTTTCTGGAAGACTAGAATAGACTTATCTGACTCTGTCCTGATCCATTGCTTTATGTACATTTTTGCATCCCCTGCCGTCCCTACATTGTGTAGAACAGGCAATACTCTTGTTAAAAGTACCAGACATTCTGAGATATGCACCACTGTTATGACAAATACCATTTTCATGTCAACCACACGGCATAGCCAAGTAATTCAGAGCCTCAGTAACATAATTAATACAAACAGAAAAGTTACCAGCAGCATGTGTGCTGGCAGAACAGCATAGCAATTCTATTATAATATCTGATTGTTTTAACAGCTGAGAAAGTTATTTGAAATATTCGCTAACTTCCCCCTAAAGACGGTTAGAGCTTTGCAGAACAAAACAGGAGGCTCAGAACACTTCTAGAGCCACATACAGCTTTCAATCCATGCATACAATTTCCATTCATGTAATAATAATACACAATAACATATGGTGTTTCTACTCTTCAAACAATAACAAATTAATTCTCGCAAAATTCTTGCAAAGTGGATAATTATTATTATCCTCATTTATGGATGGAGAAACTGAGGCAGAGGGATTACATGACTTGTCCCAGGCCATAGAAGGTGTATGCGAGGTGCTCAGATACTACAGAGAGAAACAGTGTCAGAGCAAGGACTGGAACTCTAAGGCCTTGGCTACACTTGCGGATTCACAGCGCTGCCGCGGCAGGCGCTGATTACACTGGCGCTTTACAGCGCTGCACTCGGTGCGCTCAGGGGGGGGTGTTTTTTCACACCCCTGAGCGCAGCAAGTGCAGCGCTGTGAATTGCCAGTGTAGCCAAGGCCTAAGTCCCTGACTTCCCATCCTGCGCTCTAACCACACCTCATGTCAGTGGGAGGCATGCATGCAGACTCAGGGCAGTTGATGGCTCCAAGTTTTGTTTTTAATAATAATAAACGTTTTAAATGGCTTGCTTTTAACAACATTGATGCAAGTCAGGGAGGTAGCCAAATGGCTAGTTGTTTTCTTTTCTCCATATACTTTGGAAAGCCTCAATGACCTCTTTTTACAAAACATATACTTCCTTCCTGCCCCTTCCCCCAAACTTGGGCTGCAGTGTTGAATGGAACAATTCTCTGCAGCTCAGCTTAGAGGTTCCATGCTGTTACTTACAAAAATAAATTGTATGCAATATAGTGCAAAACAACAGTGAGGCTATCATAGTGTCACACAGCACATGGAAAAAGCCATTTCTTTAAAAAATTTAGATAGGACCAGTTAGCTATCAAGACAGGATGAGACAGGGATACTCCTGGACAGAACTGACATTATCTCTATTTGCTTTCCTTTAAATTGTTTTTGTCTTTTTTACAAAAGATGTTCTACATCAGTTCATTTCAGGCCTGACTGAAAGTCCTTTGAAGACTCTGAAAGCATTTCTGCTGATTTCAATGGGCTTTGGACCAGCCCTTTTAGGAGGATTAATTCATGCTTTAATTACCGTTTATATTCACATTAGAGTTAAAAAAAAAAAAGAATAAACAGCGAGTAGTTCTTCATAGATCTGCATTATTATTATTAAAGCTTAAGGTTGTGCTTTTTCAGGTTAAAAAAAAATCCTATAGACAAATGGTGAAATCTGCTCCATCCACATGGAGCCTGAGTGTTGTGGGTGGAGTGCAGAGGGCTATGGAGCTGAAATCTTTCCCGAACTCTGAGCCAGCAAATACTGCCGCTGCACAGCTCCCTCAAACCATTAGGGGTTCCTGTTGCAGCCTGTGGCCCCATTGAAGAAAGCATCCCTTTGTTTAGGAAGGGCACATAAATACATGTTTACGGGCGTTCCTGAATCAGGGCCTCTGTGATGGAACAGCAGCTACACACCGGTTGCATGGGGTTTCGGAGCCAGTGGAACCTTGCAAATATAGAACCCCCTTCCCTAGCCTAGCCCATCATAGCTATCCATACTGGCCTACGTGAGGCTTTTCTTTATGGTTGCTCTGCCCACTGTACCTCTGTGGACCCTCCTCTGCAGGGTGTAAATGGTGCAGAGGGCCAAACTCTGGCCCTACACCCAACTGACGAATTTCACCCAAAATGACCCAGAGACCAACTTGTCTAACTCAGGAAAGTAGACACATTGACGTCAATGGAGCTACTCACAAGAGTAAGGCCGGCAGAATCTGGCCCTGAGGATGGATAATTGCACACAAGTGTTTTCATTCCTCTTGCCACTGTGCTTTAGTAACAAGGATATAAGGCCACTAGGAAGAAAGGCACGTGGAATTTTGTAAAAATACATAAAACTTTTAACTAATTTGAAAATTACTAAGTAAACAAAACGTAACAAAAAACAAAAACCCAAACACAAAGATGGGAGGGAAAAATGTCCCAGTCTTGCAATACTGGGAGTTCATTTTTTAGCTTCAGTGTGATTAACATTGTTCTTTTACAGTCTATTGATAAAACTCATCCCTTGAAAATCCTACAAAAAAGTAAAACCTTGTTGAAAATAACTGTTTACTTCCTGTTCAAACGATAAAAATAAATTAAACAGTCAGAAAACATTTCAATGCACTGTATCTAAAGTGAAAGAGACCAACATAAACCATAAATAAAATCCATTGTACTAATAAAAAAGTCTCCTTTATAATAACTGGAATAATATTTACATTCATACTGGAGTGAAAGCTTTAGAGTTGCATAATTAGAGTTTCAAATCCCCCTCCCCCCTTGCTGAACTGGCAAAATGCTAGTCATAACATTTAGAAATCTGCAAAAGTTCGAAGCAAGATTTTTGGGATGAACAGAAGTCTGCTGGAAAAAACAGCGACAATATTATTTGCAATTGTGTTTAGTTCCTTAACCTCAAACACCATGAAAGTAGCTTGTGAGGTATCGTCTATTTTCTTAAAATCTGTTCAATGCCCACGGACTAGAAGTAAACAACAAAGAATGCATTGTTTCTATCTTTTTATAAAGATATTTCATTTTCCTAGTTAATATTAGGAGTGTATACTTATTTATGAAATTATGTTGTGGCATGAAGATTCTAGTTAAACTATTAGGGTTATATTAGTAAACCAGAGCAACGCACATCTGCTTGGTTGTTTAGCTCGTATTTCCTCTAACCTGCCTCCCTTAGTCTGGTTAAAAGAGCATATTGCATGCAAACAAAATGTGGCAACCTAATTCCATTATTGTAGATTCCCATGTACTTTAATGCAGATTATTCAAATGTTCTTCTGTTTTGAACTGTATTAGTATTTTCTTTAAATGAGAAAAAACGTGGTGCTTTTTAGGGCCTCATGAGGAGACTTATCTACTGAAACCAAAAGCAAGAAAAAGTTAAAAATCTTGCATATCTTCATCCATCTGAACTGTCTGGAGTTTGGCAAGCTCTTTTTTGTCCGTTTCCAGTTCTTCACAGACCGTGTCGACCATATTACTCATAACATATTTGGATTTTGTGTCCAGCATCATTAAGTTGCTGGTTGACTTACTCTCAGAATTGGATAAGAAATTCTCCTTGACATCGGGTGCTGACTGCAGAACTAACCTGTGCTCTCTGACAAAATCCGGATGAACTTGTGCAGATGGATGACTGACATGGTCTCCAGTTGTTGAAACTATTTCCCGGAGTGCAGGCTGTGCTGTAGAAATTGACATGAGATCTTGACTGGTAATGAGGGAACAGTTCTGAAGAGTTGCATAGTTAGTGTTGCTGATTGAGATCACAGTAGATGTATTTGTTACAGATGCTGACATAGACTGACTCTCTGAGATACCAGAGTTCAGTTCTGTAGCATTTAAAAGAGAAGGCGGAGCTAGGGAAAAATTATGTGAGGGAGTTACATTTACTAAGGAGGAAGCCATGGATTGGAGGCCTCCACCAGCTACATTTTCAGAAGATACGTTTACATTTAGTTGTGTATTCTGACTGACGGGCATTAACTGAGAAAACACAAGGCTTCTTTCCAATCCTTCTTGTTTAACAGATCCTATTGCCTGACCTGAATTGGGAACTGTATACACCACAGCACTAGGAGCAAGAGGGCTAAAGAAAACCTTTCCTTGCTGCGCTGTTGAAGAATCACTTGTAAAAGTCCCCCCATCTGATGTACTTGGATTTATTGAAATGTTACCTAGGAAAAAACAGAAAGTATAGATTATAGTTGATGGGAAGCTGTGTAATGAAGCAAGTTATTCTAGTATATGCTTTGGTCGCCTCAGTTTTAGGAATTTTAAGCTAGAACTACGGCAACGTAGAAGCAATATTATTTGGAGTATTTTAGAGAACATTAGGTATGAATGAATGAAAGCCCTTGACTATACAAATTACTTCTGAACTGAGAAAAAAGTTTCTGGTACGTTAACACCTTTCAAGCTCTCATTGAGTGGCCAAATAGTCCATACCCGTGTGATTAAAATGAACACGATTTGGCCTTCCTTAGTAGCTACCACTAGATTTCCATCAAAGAACAGAAACATAAAAAGCTTGTAAGTAAAGACAGTTCAATGACAGACTAAAATTACACATGGAAAATTATAAAAAAACCTCATGAAATAAGTGACTACTTAGCTAAAAGCTAGGAGTGTAACTCTGCAGAGACATGTTCAAAATAATACCTTTCACCAGGCTTTCTATATGCCAATTTAGTATTCAAAAGTGTCTTATTTTGTCTATCAACACTAATCCTTTGAACACATTTCTAAGAGTGCAGTCCTGCCACTTTTACTCATGTTGGATAGTACATTACTCAAGCTGGGTTCTCCCATTAAAATCCATGGGACTACTTGTGAGAGTTAGGAGCTACTAAATGTGCAGAATTGGACCCAAAGTTGGTTATACAGCGAGCCCAGTAAAAGTCATTATTATAACGTGTCTCTATGTACAAGATAAATTGGCTCTCAGAGCTGTTTCCACCTTTTGACATCTATAATTCTCCACCTCTTTCAGGAAGCTATTAGAATGATACTTGTAAGGGGCTGTAATTGGTTTTGGAGATACTTGTTTTATAACATGTACAGGGCATAGCTCACTTAGGGAGTGTTTAAAATGGGGACTGTTTACCTCCCCCTTAGTTTTCATTAGCCAATATTTTCAAGAAGCCCCTAGAGAATTTTTTTGGTTACCATAAATATTTCTACCTAATGAATACACTAGAAAAATGAAGGAAGAAAACGGAAAGTTATGTAGGAATAAGATACAAATAAATTATAGCAGCTTGCTTAAGACAGCACGGAATGTATTTCACTATGAATACAAAACCAGTTACCCACCAGTCTCACAATTTAAAAACAGCTAAACAGTAAACGTGGAGGTTTCTGATTTTTCTCTACCCTGGAATCCCCACTAGGGATTGATCACACTCTGCCTAGTCAGGTGTCCTCTCGCTAATGTGGGGAAATGCTGACTGCTTCAGATAAAGGTTTACACCACTTCTTAAGGCTGTCCAACACTATTTCAGGGAGAGAAATTTCTTCCTCACCTTTTGCTGGCTGTCAGCCTATGCCTTGGAGCATGTACATTAACAGCCCTTGTAATTTCAGATGTTATTCAAATAAAATATCTAATCTTTTTTATCTCACTAAGCTATTTGTCCAATAACTTCCAATGACAGTGAGTTGCATAGTTCAGAATAATATATATATTATATATTATATATATTATTCTGAACTATGCAACTCACTGTCATTGGAAGTTATTGGACAAATAGCTTAGTGAGATAAAAAAGTATATATATATACTGTGCTGATTTATAATTTCCACTGAGTGTCCACCCTTCGTTAAATTCCTCTTTACTGGAAAAATAATTAACTCCTTACCGCATGCACCTCAAACAAGCTAAAACACAGTACAATTTGATTGTTGTTATATTATTCATGGTCCTTGCTATTACACAGAAATTCATATTTGGTTTAAACATTTTCCTAACAGCAAAATGCTGAAGATTAATAAATTATAGGATAGTTCAGCTTTGCCTTTACTTTATAATTCACCCACATCAAAACAATGATCCAGAACCAAATTTGATTTGCACAGATTTTTTCCCTTACTATCCAGAAAAATCAACCCCTAATGTTAAGGCAACCTCTAAAATAATCTTTTGGGAGGAGTTCATATAGTTGGTATGTTAATCCACAGTAACATACATTTCCCTAGGGCTAAGGGTTACCTTTACCCAAAACATCTTAACATTTGATATCTACAAGGAATCACATATTTCTATGATTTCTCTTTAGATTAGTTGTTCTTAATTATAGGATGGACAGATTACAAGCACAACTGATCAGTCTTGTTGTGCCTGTATATGTAGTGGCTTTAACTTACTTTTACAAAATGATTTGGTTAAAAAACAGTACATACTTTCTCACTAGCTGCTGGGCTAGTTCTCATTTTAAGACAGTATTAATCAATCATCTTTTCTTTTTTTACTTATCGATTTAACACATTTCTGGAATTGTGAAGATTAATACGGAAGGATTCCTAGAATGGTATTTTAAAAAAGACAGTAAAATACCAGACCTTCCTTTGTGCTGCATTAGAAAAAAAAAGTCCAGACCCCACATAACTTGATCTTTGCGAATCGAGGAAACTGATTGTTACAGGGAGATGTTGTAATGTATGATTTCATGTACTGCACATTGCAGCTGCCAGGACGCTGTAACCATACACCACTGCACAAATATTACACACTATTAAAGATGAAATGTATTCCATTTTTTCCCCTCAAAAAAGTCTTTACTTTAGCAAACAAAACTTTTACCTTGTGAAGCTGCCACAGAAACAGGAGGCAGCTGCAGAGGAGAAAACCCGATGCTTCCATTAAGCAACTGGCCATTTGTTCCTGAATTAGGGATCTGGACAATGCCATACTGGTTTATTTGGACAGGAGCAGTAAAAGTAACTACAGACCCTCCATCTTGAGAAGCAACCGTTTGTATGCTTTCCCTTTTCACCTCACTGCTTGGTATTAACCCTGGAAATGAGACAGGTACATTACTGGGATTGTATGGTGTTGGTGCTGCTGCAGAGTTAGACACAGAAGCCTGGAGGATTTTGAAGTCCTTGACATCTTCAGAAGAAGACACCAATATGTCAGTGATTGACACTCCATTGCTCACAGCACTTGAAGTTGTTTTGGGTGGATTTAAAGTTACTGTCTGTGAAGTCCCCATGTTGAGACCATTGAGGATTACTCCATTGGGTCCTTGAAGAAAAGAGCTCCCATTAAGAAAGACAGAAGAAGTACTGGCAGGCACTAGGTTTCCATTCAGCAAAACGCCAGAAGAACTTAAAGATATTTTAGTGTTTCCAAGCTGCTGCATGTACACTGGCTCCATGTGATTGGGAAGGCTTAGATTGGTAGCTCCATCGGACGAGTTGGGGAGTGGATGTGGAGACAAATCCTCCTGCCCCTTACTGGATTCATCTTCTGTGCTAGGGTTGCCATCTGACTCACTATGGGGAAAGATGGAAATATGATATTCCATTACAATGACATTATTCATAGGTTTTAAGTCGAGAAGGGGTCACTATGGCTATCACAGGCCATAGAACAATATCCAGTGATGTTTATTGTTTGCATTTGGTTTTTAAAGCAAGCTTTAAGTCCATCTAAGAGACAGTAAAGGTTTAAAAAAATAAATAAAAGTAAAGCCAATCATGAGTAGTGTGAAACTTTACAGACTGGATTGTAGACCAGTAAGTATATTCTCTCTCTGTGGTCACCTACCCAAAATAATCAAAGGGAACTGCCTCAGGGCCATCTCTTTGCCTGCTAAATTGCCCTATGGAATGATGTGTGCATGTGTGAAATCCAGCAAGCGGAGGAGCAGCCATTTGGTAAGTTATACTATGCCTTGTGGCAGCTGTAAGAGGTAAACCAGGGTCCCAGTGAGCACTGTTAAACCCTGAAAGTATCTACTGTCTCTTGTTAAATAAAGCCAAGCTCACTGGACTCACTGATATTCTAAAGGGGAGACTGGGACCACCCCCAAATACCTCACACCCGGTTGCATTTCTTGAATGTCTAGATCCATCATGAAAACTTCATTCTGTTCCAATTTCTCCTTTCCCAAAAGGGGAAAGTGACCCACTGGTACCTTAATTTACAAAAGAGACAAAGAAAAGATTCCAGACTTCCCAGGGGGCGGGAGGGGGACTCTATTGTGGTTGCATATAGTATGATCACACATCCTGGTATTTGGTTAATTTTTATCTCTGAAGAATGGGATTACCCAGACTGCTACCAGCCTTTAAAAGCAGCACTGCTTTGATTTATTAGTTGAGACCGAACCTATCTAACAGTTTGAGAGAGAGTAACTCGTGGAGGCAGATCCAAAGAGGGCTCCAGCCGAACTCCTCCTCCAGGTGCTTGGAAATGAAAAAGAAGGGTACCTCTTTCCTCTCTCCTTTGTGCAGGGGGCCAATTAATATTGGAAAGGATTTGGTGATCAAAACCTCCATAGAACACACACAGGAGTTTTCACCAATGGAAGATCTCAACAACCTCCCCATAAGCCTTAGGGGTTGGGGAGATGGGGTGTTAAATGTGCTGTGTGCCATCTAAATCCCCCCTTGTCCTCCAACACCCCAGTACACAGGTTCCCTCTGTTTCTGAGCCACCCAGGGCTTGGCTTTTGCTGACTTGTCTGCTCTGGAGTGCATTTTTCTTTCCTAGTTTTTGTTGTTGGTTGCTCTCTCTCTCCACAGCCGTTTGTCCCTTTGATGTGTCCCGGAAAAAAAAAGGGGGGGGGGGGGGGGGGGGGGGGGGGGGCGGGCACGAGGGGGCCCGGGGGGGGGATGCCTTGAGGCCTTTTTCTGCCCACGGCCTTCGGAAAGGAAGGAAGGGGGCTGGAATGTGGCTTGTATGCAGGGAGGTCACCTCCACCTGGCCGGCTCAAGGCGGTGGATTCCCCCTAGCGGCCCCACTCCCAGCCCCTATGTCCCATTAGCCCACAAAGCAGGAACGTGTATGGAGCCAGGGCCGTGCCTGGGTTCCATGCCCCAGAGCCAGGGCAGGGCTTACTGGGCACAGGCATAGAGCTGGGGGAGCCTGTTGTTGCGTCAAAATTGCAGGGACACAGGTAAAGGGTGAAGAACGTGGGAAAAAACAGCTGACTGCGGGGCGCAGAGCCCCCCCCCCCCACCTCCAATATTCTATCGACTAAGCCCCAGCCAGCACCAGGAGACCCCCAGTCGGAGGAGGCCCGTGGGAATCTTCCCATTGACTTCACCCGGCTTTGGATCAGGCCCGGTGGGAGCCAAGCGCCCGTGCTCCCAGCTAGGATCGCAGTGAAACCCGATCCGAACCCGCTCAGAATCAGATTTCAAAACAGAGCAGCGGCCACAAGACGCCCCCGCCCCCACGACTTAAAAAAACTCGGCAAATGATTAACTCTGTCAAATAAAACGCTGCCCCACTCCCGCAAGCATTGCACAGCCCAGCCGGGCGCAGTGTCTGCCCGTGCGGGGTGTGTGTAGGCGGAGGAGAGAGCTGCGATTTTGAGAGGGGGGGGTGTGTTGGGGAGGGGGGGGCACTTAGCAACTTCTCAGCCGCGATCACACGTTGTATGTGAGTTGGGGGAAAGGGGGGGGGCGCAGACCTGCACCGAGTTGGTTGGGTGGAAACTTCCCTGCGCTCGCCCGCTTCCCCCCCCCACACCCGGCCTGGGGTGGGGGCAGTGCAGGGGCTGTGTGGCTCCGGGGAGAAAGTGAAAGTTGGGGGAGGAGGAGGAGACCTGAGCTCCGGTCCGGTGCCCAGTCCGAGGGCCGGCCGGGTGGGGGGTGCGTGCTGAAGGTAAGCGCCATGTTTGCACGGGAAGAAAGAGCCCGGAGCGGGCGGGCGGGCGAGGAAAGTTGGCGCTCACCTTTTGGACTGGGTCTCGGAGGGGTTGCGGTCCCGCTGCCGCCGGTTCTTGAACCAGTTGCTGACCTGGGTGAGGGAGAGCCCGGTGATCTTGGCCAGGTTCCGCTTCTCGGCCGGCGACGGGTACCGGTTCTGCTTGTAGAGCTCCTTCAGCGCGTTGCGGGACCTCTCCTTGAAGCAATACACCGTCTCCTCGCCGTCCCAGATGGTCCGGGGCAGGGGGAACTTCCTCCGCAGCCGGTACTTGTCCACCGCCCCCAGGGGCCTGCCCCGGGCTCGCTCCGCCTCGGAGTAGCGAGCCTTGTACCACAGCTCCTGCAGCAGCGGGTGGTTGGAGGAGTCGAAGCTGTGGCCCTCCAGGATGCTGTAGAGCTCCGGGTAGATGCCCTGGTGGAAAGCCACCAGCGCCCGGGCTTTCATCAGGCTCTCGTTGCCACGTAGCAGATCGCTCTGGGGCAAAGACCACAGGAACCTGGCCAGGCGGTCCAGGTTCCCACCTTGCTGCAGCGCCTCGCAGACACAGGCTACATGGTCCGGGGAGAAAGCCAGGGGGGTCTGGGAGGAGGAGGAGGGAGAGGAGGAGGAGGAGGCGGCGGCGGCAGCATGGTGATTCCTGGCCAGAAGTTCAGTGTGGAGCAGGAGCTGATCCGCACCTCCCTCCTCCCCAGCCGCGGAGCCTGCTTGCTCCATGGGGAAAGGGGCCGCAGCCGGCGGGGGCGGCGGTGCAGGGTGGAGGGCTGCCCTTTCCTGGGGCACCGTGCCTGCTTCGGAGCGGATTTCCATCACATTCTCTTGCTTGATCTCCACCGCGCTCGGGAGCTTGTCTGTGGGGGAGGCAGAAGACATGTTTCCCCCCCTTTCTCTCTCTCTCTCCGCAAAGTCCACTCCTCCTGCTTTCGGCTGGATCTAGCCGATCAGGTTTCCTCCCGGCCACGCAGTAACCATTAAGATAGCTGCTATAGCAAAGTAGTGTAAACGGATCGCTCCTCTCCGCGGCTCCCCCCAACGTGACTCCTCCGCTCGCTGCATACTATATGGCACAAGCAGCCTGCGGGCCCAGCCGAGCCCACTCATTGGCCATTTCACATTTTGGGGGCGGAGGATCCGCGGTTTCTATAGAAACCGTCAATCAAACTCCCTTATTCCCCCCCCCCTTGAAACACCTATACCTGAAGTTAGAAAGGGTTGATGGGGTTTTGTTTCTTCTTTCCTCTTGTGTTTGTTAGTCAGGTTACTTAAAGGACGTTTCAGCACTATAAAGCAGGAAAGTTCATTATTAGCAGCGCAAAGGAAAGCTCAGCACAATGATTATTAAACAGGGGAGGAAGTCACATTTTAAAATGAGTTGGCCACACTAGAAATATAAACCAGAGAACTCCCTGCTCTCCCTGTGTCAGTATATAATGCCTGCATCTGTAACTTTCACTCTATGCATCCGAAGAAGTGAGGTTTTTACTCACGAAAGCTTATGCCCAAATAAATCTGTTAGTCTTTAAGGTGCCACCAGACTCCTTGTTGTTTTTGTAGATACAGACTACCACGGCTACCCCCAGATACTTGAGAACATGTTGTCACTGCAGAATTACAGCATATGCATGTGGAGATGGGATCATTTTATTTATTTATTTATTTATTTATTCCTCCAACCCCCTTTAAAACACAGCAGCTCCTCAAGAAGATTAAACAGTAAAAAACAAAAAAACAAAAAACCCAAAACAAAAATTCCAAGATCAAATGGGATTGTGAAAGATCAAGAAGAATCTGTTGCAAACACTTAAATGAAGATGTTATGTAGCGTCTTATTTTTCAAATGTTAAAGCATATACTATAAATAGCGTGGCATAAATACACAAAACATGAAAGAAATGAAACTATACTCCTAACCTTAAATCACCCAGAGTTGGCAAGTAAAGCAAGATGGACATGATACAGCAAGGCAAATAAAATATCAAAGCCAGACGAGTAATCCCTGATGATGAGCAGCAGAAGCTGATCCAAACATCTGATTATAAGAGCGACTAGGTTCAGTGCATGAGCAAGAAAAAACGTTATCTGCACAGTGTACATTCTTTTCTATTCTCTTTTAAAATGTTGTACTATTATTCATTGATTCTATTATCTGTTGAGAGCATAAAAAGCAAGTTATTTGAATCACTAGAGCCCCACGCTTAAAATCAAGTCATAATGGAGTGTGGTTTATTATTTATGATAAGTACCAAAGAAAACAGAAAAGAGACATCAAATGCAAAATTTTAAAAATAGCCCTTTCCTCCGTTTCAATGGTTTGATCTATCAATTTCCCCACCTCTCTACACTTCAGACAACTAGCAAATCTGGGTGCTTTTGAGGACATGCTGTATATAGCACCTGAAATTCTTTCCTAAAATGCTAAGGGTTGAGTATAACAATCAGTTGAATATTTTTACAGGATAAGACTGAAAAACCCTGGACTTTATAAGGCGGCACCAGGCTTTTGATAGATATTGTTGTACAGTAGGTCTGTCTCTACACTCCTACTGTGATCTTTATTTTCATGCTGTGGTATGTAGTTGCACTCGGATTAAAATGCAGATGCATGACAAAATCTTGTAATTTTTTTTTTTAACATCGGTTCCCTTTTCTCACGAGAAGGGACGGGGAGAGATGTTGTGTATGGCACAAACACGACGCACAACGGACTGCCTTTTTGTCCCCCCCCACCCCTTTCACAAAGCCCATGAGGTTAGCCGCTTCTCTGCTGCTGCAACACGCCTCCTGTGAGCGGAACGGTTGCTCTGCGGAGTTAAAGCCCCGGCCGGGCCCTGTTTGGAGTGACAGTGCTTTGAGCAGGGAGGGGTGGGAAGGAGCTGGTGCCTGGCAGGCGGGGGTGGAGGCGACCATGGATGACCAGGGCTGCCCGCGGTGCAAGACCACCAAGTACCGGAACCCTTCCCTGAAGCTGATGGTGAATGTCTGCGGGCACACGCTGTAAGTGCTGCTGCAGGCGGGCCCTGGGGAGGAGGGGGCCGTGTTGCCATGGGGAACATCGAGCGCAACTCGCCCCTGTCCTGGGAAACCTTCCCCCCGGGGGCCCTGGTGCGTGGGGGGCTCCCACCACGGGGAGAGGCTGTTGTCCGGCTGCTGTTGTGCGGGGGGATTTTCTCACTCCGCCAAAAGCATTCGGGGTGTGGGTGTGAAGCCGCTTGCCCAAGCTGGG